TAAGACTCTGTGCTTCCGCTGCAGGGGGCATGGGTTCAATCCCTGGTCTGGGAAGAAAGATCCTGCAAGCCGCATGTTGTGGCCGAAAAGAAAAAGTTCACACAAACAAGAAAGAAAAAGTACTTTGCCCACCTCCTTCTTCAAAAGGAACAGTTTAGGAATTTTACTTCTGCTTCCTCTTCCCCTCACACTAAGAGTCAGCTCTCCCCCATGTCTTCTGTTCACCTCCATGTTTGCCATTCCATTCCGAACAGTCATCACCTCTCGCCTTTTCGAGAACTTTCTAACTGGATTCCGTCTGCTTTTCACTGGCTTGGTACACTCCGCATACTGCTATAGTGAGTTTTTATACTGTAAATCAACCTCGTTCACTTGCTTAAAGCCTAGTGATTTCCCAATGCACTTAGAATAAAAGTCATCTCCTTTACCTTGTCCTACAAGGCCTGCCTACTCTATTAACCTTTTTAGCCTCATCCGCCTCTGCTCTGTCCGTGTTCGCTGCCATTCCCCAACTACACTTAGCCACATTGACTCTTCTGTTCCTTAATCCTACTAAACTCCTTCCCATCTTAGGGCCTTTGCATTCACTGTTCCGTCTGTCCGGAATGTCTTCTTCCCCAATTTTTGTACATCAGGCTTCATGTCGTCGTTCAAGTCTTAACCTAAATTTCACCTCAGAGGTCTTTTCCATCTAAATGCACTTTCTGTAACATCACCCTCTTTCCTTTCCAGCACAGGAAAGCAGACAAAAAGTAGACTGAGATCCTCGTTGGCCACACCTGCTGCTGGCTTGCTGACGGGAATTTCTAAGGGCCTTTATCAACAGGAGTCCCCAACCCCTGGGCTGCAGACCGGTGCACGGCATGTTAGGAACTGGGCCGCACAGCAGGGGGTGAGCAGCGGGCGAGCGAGCAAAGCTTCCTCTGCCGCTGCCCATCGCTTCCCATCGCTCGCATTACCGCCTGAACCCTCCCCTCCGCCCCCAACCCCACCCCCGTCCGTGGAAAAACTGTCTTCCACGAAACCGGTCCCTCGTGCCAAAAAGGTTGGTGACCGCTGCTTTATCAGATGATTCACCCTTTAAAGTCTTCAAGCCCTCAGAGGCCTCACAAAGGGACAGCCAGAAGCAGTACACCAGATCAGATCCATTATCTGGGATGAGGAATTCAAAATAAACTGAGACAGGGTGGAAGTTACTCACTCCTGAATTAATTCATCTGGACAGCGCTGGCAGGAGGGGGAATTAACAGCAGATTAATAAGGTTCCCCAACCCTCTTTCCAGCTCCTTATCCTCAGTTTTATATCTTCCTATGGTCTTTGCATCGACAGAGAATAACGGTTTCGAATGTGTCTTGGATACCATATTTTTAAACAGGCTCTCTGTATTTTCAGCTCCACTGAATAGAACTATTCAGGTTAAGGCAACTGTGTGCTACCTAACATTCTACTTTGTGCACTAAAACTGCATTTTTATTATGTGCATACTAGTATGAAGAAGACATGCAGAGTTGATAAGACGTGAGAAGAGAGGTAAGTAGAAGGTACATTACATTGGAACAATAATGAAATCAGTGGGTATATTATAATCTGAGTTTATTTTCAATAACAACAAAATTTTAAGAACCAAGACATTACACATTTAACAGAAAGGTTGTTAAAGCTAGAAGTTAAGGCACATTGAGGCAAAATCCTTTTCTGAATCTAATTGTACAGGAATTCATTTTACATATGAATAAAACAAATCTGGGAAAACCATTATGAACTTTTTCATCACTGACAATTTCTTGAAAACATTGATTCTGTTTTTCCATAAAGGAGCAACATTAAAACGAGGCTGCATTTCTGTACCAGGATTCAGCAAAGAAATCCCTGATCTAACCATCAGTATGTCCTAAGTGCCAAAGATATAACTACCCTAAAAGTCTATATTAATTTAAAATACTATTCCTAGTTCTACTGAAGGGGCATAAAGAGGGTACACATGAATAACAAAACACATTTCAAGGACTAGGAAGTGCTTATGCAGTAAAAACGTAATAAGTGACCTAAAGCTAAAGTGCTCACTGTATCGAAACTTCAGTCATCTTTGTCATCTTAGAAATTGAGGATGTTGCCTGGGAAAGAGATGGCAAAAGACTCTTTAGAAAGTTCTCCAAATATATGAAAACTTTCTTTTGATACATTTTCCTAAAACAGGCAGAAGCACTCAGTCACCTCATTCAGGCTAGAGGTATTTCTCCACAGAAAACTGACCAGGTATACATACCCTCTATCTTCTCTTCCCTTCACACAGTTTACACAAAGCAAAAATGGTATGGGCTGAGCATCAGACAGAAGGTTACTCTGCCTAAGGCTTATTACACTTGCTGTTAAGAGTTTTTCAATCATGAGAAAACTGTAGAAGCAGCTACCTGATCACCAGCACAAACTTTACAAAGAGCTTAAAAACACTGTGTGCTAAGGTGGCCAAAGAAGTGAGGATACATGGACATTGGTTCTTTACAGAGCAGAAAGCAGAATATAACAATCTGAAACGCTATTCTTCAGGGGGCTTTTTCTATAAAGAAACCTAACTTAGCTAGGTGAAACACACCACACAACTATTTTCCTGTCACTTCCGCAAGGTGGTTTTCTTGAGGTAGTTTCACATCTGGGTTTTTGGCAAATGGTACTGGGTTATCCGGAGGTGTGAGGCACAGCCCATTTATTACCAAGAGCTAATTAAAGAAAAACCTAACTTTAAGGGAAGCCAGTTCCACACATAATCTAGCAGTACTGCTGGAGAAAAGCACCTAATCCTTCACACTAACACATCATGATGGATATTTAACCACAGCACCCTGAGATCCCAAAGCCTTCCTAACCTGGTTTATGTTACATAGCACCTAAGAACCCTTGCTCCATTCCTGACTTCGTGTTATTTTAGGAATTACTTTGGATGCGTCCTTGATTTGGTGCCTAGGGCAGGGTTCAGTGTGGTCTTTGGAGCACCTTGTCCTTTTGGGCACGGATTACGCCTTTCTTGCAGCCGTTGCCTCCCCCGGCTTAAGCACTCTAGGTACCACTGCTCCTGCTGCAGCTGCTGCTGCTGCTTTTTTAAACGGCTGTGAGTAGCCTCCAACTTATGGCATTTCTGAATTAGCTGTGGTAGTTCCTTCTGTAACTGCTGGTGCTGTCTGTCGATGCTACTGTGGAACTCGGAAGTGTACTGCTTTGCTGCCCTCTCCAAGGCCTTGTTCTTGCTGTTCAGCTCCTTTGTTGGTCTCTTTCCCAACTGCCTTGCATCTAGCTCACTCAGTTGTGCCTCCAGTAATGCTTTATCCTGGAAGAACTGGACCAGCATGGCTTGTTTCTTTGCAGCTGTCTCAGCGTGGGTTTTCTTTATCTCCTGCTGTAGTGTCTGAATTTCTCTCTCCTGTTTCTCCTTTACTATCGAAACGTCCCTCATTGCCTCCAACTGCTTATTCAAATTGGATAGGATCTTTTCTTTCTGCAAGAGCTCTGTTTTAAGCGCTGAATTTTTCCCCGCATATTTGGAGGTTAATTCTTGTCTCCTTTGTTCAATCTGCCCACTTTGTTGTAAATAGTAGTTCCACAGCTTCTCGGTTCGCTGTCTAGACTCCTTTGTTTGCTTGGTCAGGTATTCCAGAAAGAACTGGTTTTCCTCCTCGACACGTACGTTTTCCGCCAGCAGCTGCCTGGTTTCCTCCACTAACGGTTCTAGTCGGATTTGAGTTTCTTTGATTTGCTTGTCTAGCTTCATCATTTCCACTACTGCCTTTTCTTTAAATCTCTTCTCTGCCTTTGTTAGCTTCTCTGGCTTGAGAAAATTTATGAAACTAAGATCCGGTTGAAGGGAATTACTGGAGTCCTCAGCCAACCTGAAGGAAGAACAAGAGCGACATCCCCCCATGTTTTTCACGAAAAATTAGGAAATAATTTTAAAAATGCACACGTACTTTAATTCATATCCCAACTCTTTGGGAGCACCTACGATGTTCCTCACACAAGGCACGAGGGACAGAGCTAGGGGTAAAGACGAGGGAGTGTAGTTTACAACTGACAATATGCCGTCTCTACAACCCTATGAGGTAGTATCTCGAGAGTAAAGAGGAGAAAACAGGTTCAGAGAACTGAAGTGACTTGGCCACGATGTACACCGCCAGCGGGTGGCAGAGCCTGGGTCTAAAACCCAGATCTCACGGCTTACTGAACACTACAGCTGCTCCAAAGGGCCACCGCAGCCAACTGGGCGGTCGGGAGTAGGAGTGTATACATGGTTCGGCTCTTTCACCACCTTTCCGTGTACCGAGGGCGCCTGGGTGGAGAGAAGCGCCCCCTGAGTACCTACTTGACAAACTCAGCAACCAAACGTTCCTCCCCAAAGTCACGGTGCACCTTTGCGGAGACCGCCAGGGAAAGAGCCCTACGGTCTGGGGCTGGCGACACGCGGAGACGGGGTCCCAGTGCGGAGGGTTTTTCCAGTTTCTCCGGGCTGGTCTCTGCGGCTCTTGGCGGGGCCCAGCAACCCCGACGCTCGCATCCCGCCCGGGTCCCGGCACGTCCAGCCCTGAGCCGCTTAACCTCCTCGGCCGCCGGACGAGCCCTAGCGGCCGGTTCTCCGGCGGCTCGGTTACCCGCTCTCGGGGGGCCGACAGGAAAAGGCACTCTCTTCACTTTCATAGTGTGGGAGCCCGGGGGTCCCTTGTCGTCCCGCCTGCCCGGGGTCCAGAGCTTTGCCCTTCCCAGGCCCTGCCCGACGACGGTGAGCGGCTCTTTAGGTGGCCTACTCCAGTCGTCCTCCCAATGTCTCCACTTCCCCGCCTCTGTCCCTAGTTGGGCCCCCATCCGGGTCAGGACGGACAGATCAAAGGCTCACGCCTGGCCCCTTGGCCCTGCCCTCTCTGGCCGGTTTGGTTCGGTTCGGTTTGGTTTGCTCTGTTCTAGTCTCATTCAGAGTTCCGAATGTCGCGTGAGCCTCTCTAGCTACAAGCGTCTCTATGGTCGAGTGGGCGGAGCCAGGAGCAAGATGGCCGCGCTCGCAGCTGCCACGGAGCCGCAAGCTTCCGGGGGTCCCCGGCCCCCAGTGTGTCTGCTGGTGTTGGGAATGGCGGGGTCTGGGAAAACCACCTTTGTACAGGTGACCTGCAGGGCGCGGGCGTAGTAGGAGCGCGCGAGAAGTTGTCTGTGGCAGGCGTAAGGCCAGGGGAGAAAGGGAGGTCTCTCTGGGGAGTTGGAGGGTACCGGCGCCTGGCTTTCAGGGATGCCAGCAACCCCTGTTTCTTCCTCCGCGAAGCCGTCTCATATCCTAGCCTGGGTTCATTCAGCCTCTCTTCTGCGCACCCTCAGTGCCTATTTGTGACGACCGTCCTTGGTATTGGAATTGCCTTGCTAGTGCCAAGTCCTCGAAGGCAGAGGCTTAACAAGTAATTCTGGCTGTTAATAGAGTGCTTGCACACAGGCTTTCGGTGTAGATTCCTAAAGAATTCCTTCTGGGGTGCCTACCATGTTTCAGGCACTGGGGATTTAGCGGAAATGACAAGGTTCCCGCTTAAATGGAGCTAATGTTTTTTGTGGGGGAGATAGAAACCCCCGCTCCCCCCAACCCACCAAGTCAATAAGTGATGGAGAGTAGAGGAGGCTCTGTTGGATGTGTGATGAAGAAAGATAGCATTTCAATTGAGAGTGAATGTTGGCGGTGGAGATCAGAAACGAATATTTAAGGTAGAGGGAAATGGAAGTGCAGAATTCTGGTAAGTTGGATTAAGGGGTGGAAGGTCTCTCTTTTTCCTTTATCATGGCTCTTGGTCTCAGTCCATCCTTCTACCCATATGTCTGCAGAGGCTCACAGGATATCTGCATAGTCAAGGGTGTCCACCTTATGTGATCAACCTGGATCCAGCTGTGCATGAAGTTCCCTTTCCTGCCAATATTGGTGAGTAAACTGTGCCAGAACTTGTGTGAAGTTTCTCAGAGAATGGAAAGCTGTCAGCCTATCCTATGAGTCTTCAATGCTTCCATTTTTAATGTTTTCTAAACTGCCTAATTTCGTTTCCCTTGGATTTGCTAGCATCCTGAAACAGGCTTCTTCCTGATTCCCTTTTTCTCTTTGTTTACTCCTTCCCTCTTCCTAAATTTCCTTTTTTTCCTTACCACTACCATTCTCTCTACCTCTTTTGACCCAAGGGTGTCAGACTATGATTCTCTGGGAAAATGAAGTGACAGAAAGTCAGTCCTCTGGCTTTTAAGCCGTAAACCCTTCAGCAGGCTCTGTTACATAAACTTTGTTTGTATAGTTTTTTTTCTTCAAGTTAAGAGCATGTGGGTTTTGTGCAGAGTTTGCTTACTGATCTGTAGGAATCTTGCAAAGTTACATGGGAAAATGTGTGTATATATGCCTATGTGCATTGTCTTGGTGAGGGGTTCCTTCCCTCTTATCATCAGACTTGTAGAGGAGTCCCTGACTACTGTATAAAAAAGATTAAGAATGGATGGGATCCAGTGTCCTGATTCTTGATAGGATCTAGGCTTCCTGATTTTCAGACTATTCCTTGATGTTAGTCTTTTCCCTCCTGGTCTCTTTTTAATCCTATTAAGCTTGTACTCCAAACATACTAATTAAGGAAGACCTTGTATTAAGAAGCAGAAATCATTATGGGAAGAATTTTGAAAAAAAAACAACATTCCATCTTTTCACTTAAAGGCTGGAGCTCTAATAGTTGATGGGATATAGGTCTCCTGACTGCTAGATAGGTTTAGTTAGATATTACTGGACAGACCAATTTCCTTTTTATTTAAAATTCCATCCAAATAATTTTTTTCTAGTTTTATTGAGATATAGTTGACATACAGCATTGTATATGATTAAGTTGTATAGCATAATGATTTGATTTACAAACGCATGAAATGATTACCATGAGTAAGTTTAGTGAACATGGGATCTGTCATCTCATATAGATACAAAATTAAAGAAATAGAAAAAAATTTTTTTCCTTGTTATGAGAACTCTCAACTTTCACATATAACATGTAGCAGTGCTCATTACATTTATAATGTTGTATATTACATCCCTGGTATTTATTCACTGGAAGTTAGTACTTCTGACTACCTTCATCCAATTGTCCCTCCCTCCACACCCTCTACCGATTTGTAGATCGGTAACTACAAATCCAATCTCTTTTTCTGTGGGTTTGTCTGTCTTGCAGTGTAATTGACCTGCCACAGTATTTAGTTCCTGGTATACAACACAATAATTTGAAATACGTGTACATTTCAAAATGATCACTATGATGAGTCTAGTTAATATCTGTCACCATACAACGGTATTATATAATTTTTGACTGTATTCCCCACACTGTACATCTCACCCCATGACTCATTTATTTTGTAACTGAAAATTTGTACCTCTTAATCTCCATCACCTATTTCTCTCCCCACCCATCCACTTCCCAAGTTAATGCCTTTATAAAAATGTTGTCTGCATTACCTTTGTTACCAGTAAGCAAGGAGTAAGAAATAAACCTTTTTTCTTTATTTAGCTCCCTTTTTCTATGTATATGGTCACTGAGAAGGTATTTAAGTTGTATAAAACTTTTCTCTTTGTCTCCGACATCCCTACCATAACTTGAGAGCTCCTAGCCTAACATTCTTCTTGGGTTACTTGGCAGTTGTCCTTGGCCAGTGTGAAGCTGGAGAAATTACTAGAAGACAGTGCTGACAATAGAAGCCTCAGAAGCTAGTTTCAGTTTCTTGCTGGGAAGGAAGGTACTTGCAGGGTACCTTTTGTCCTCCTAGTCTCTTCCTGAACTTGCTTCTTTTGCTGTTGCAATTCAGTGATCTTAGCTTGAAAATTTAGAAAACAGATTGGAAAAGTACCTTGGATGCTAAGAGAGAAACTGATTTGTTTGCTCAGAGGAAGCAGAGATGACTTGAGAGGTCTGTTGGCTTAGATATTATAGGTGGAGAGTCTCAAACTGTATTGTTTCTTACGTGTTAAATTCCATTTCATTCTCTCTTTTTTTCCCTCCAGATATTCGTGACACTGTGAAATATAAAGAAGTCATGAAACAGTATCCTTTTTCACATCTACTTTGGTTTTTGGCTCATCCCTGGCTGCTTACTGTGTGTGTATTGTGTAGCTTTGAAAAAAGTGTTTGTGCCTTCCCTTGTGAAATATACTAGCAAAAGCATTCGATTGTTTTCAGGTAATTTTATGAAGAGGAGGGAAGATGAATGTGGGGAGAAGCATTGTAGGTGATTAGAAATCCTATTTCAGCTTGTGAGTTCCGTTTTCTGCCTTTGTCCTGAACTGCAGGCTGTTGTAATTAGCACAGAGAAGGAGAGGCTAGCTGGCGGCCTGCCTGGGTCCCACAAGGGAGTATTGTCTTGGTGGATGCATCCATTGATCACCATCCCCTTAGACTGGGAAGCTCAAAGATTAGTAAGATCAACTCTTAGTACATTGCTGTGTGAAATGTGTACTTTCCCTATAGGTAAGTCTAGATAGGAAGACTAATTCTAATCCTCAGGTGGCTTGATGAGTGAGGATCAGAGCAAAGAGTGGTATATAAATGATCTTCATGGCTAATGCCATCAGGCTGTCAGCGCCTGATACATCTGTCTGTTCCATTTTGGCCCCATTTCACCTGGCCATTTCTAAACGATGAACAAGGTAGGCATCAATAGTGAATGTTTCCCTATGAGGTTAAGATTGTGTGATACATACTAGTCAGTTGAACACTAACGTTATGCTGTTTTTGTGAGGGATTGTCTAGATAATAAACTTTTTCATCTAAATTGATCTATAAGCAATTTAAATCCTCAACTTAGTGTCTAGGTATGGACTTGGACCCAATGGTGGCATAGTGACCTCACTCAATCTCTTTGCTACCAGATTTGATCAGGTATGTCTGTCTCTATTTACATAGACATGGCTGTGTCAGAACCTGTGACTCTTAAATGCCTTAGCTTGATCACACTGGGAAAGAAGGGCAATCAACCTCAATGTCAATACAGAATATAAGGAGGCATTTTGGTGGACAAAGAAGTAGGCTATGAGAGGATGATCAACATGGTGAGAGACTTCACATTGAACGTTGTGGCGGCCAATAAAGGCCTAAGAGACCTGGGTTCTCTTCGTGATCTGTTATTGGCTTGCAGTGGTACCCTGAGGATGGGGTGGAGGGATGGGGAGTGGGATGGGCTACCAGGCAGGGAATGGAACAATTATGGGGCTTTTCACTTGTGACAAATTGTTGTCATCTTGTTATGTTTTCTCTGTCACATTCCACTTCCTTAAGAGTGTTTGGCAATCACTGATTTTTTACCCCGATTTCACTCAATGATTCAGGCTGTTAACGCTTTACTGAAGCACCAAGAGAGAGACTTGGCGGTGACAGATCAAGTCTTCAGCTCCTTAGGCCTTGCCCTGTGCTCCAGGGTATTGTGGTATGGCAGGTGTGGCTATGTTTCTTTGGTTCCATGAGCACGTTAGTTGGTGTCCTCAGACAGAGAACGTAGAGATTCAATCGTTAATGGTGCCTGCAGGTGGGCCACTCTCGAGAGGGCCCTGTGATTTTTTTTGTTGAACTTGGATTCTGTTGTAATTGGCGTCTTTTTCTTTTAGGTGATGAAATTTATTGAGAAGGCCCAGAACATGTCTAAGTAAGTGATTTCAGTCTAATGCCTATTTATTACTCTGTAGTTGACATGTTTCTAGGTTTTTTGAAGAATTTTGGGTTACTATCAAGTTCTGAGAGGGTGTAGTTTAAGATGAAACCATGATAAGTGAAAAAATTGTTGGCAAGAAGACAATCATTAAGATGCTCTACTTGGTTGGGGAACTAAGATCCCACAAGCCATGGCGCGGCCCAAAATAAATAAATAAATAAAAGCGACAAGATGCTCTACAGTGTAGAGCTCAATTTAATAGTATCCCACCCCCAATCACTTTGGTATATGTTCCCAGCTTCTTAGGAGGTATTTTGAGAATTTGAGTCCACATTCACTTGTCCACTTGCCTTCTCTTGCTTGTTGGCATTAAAGTCTATGAAATACCTTTCTAATCCTTGTTTATTTTATTTTATTTTATTATTATTTTTTTATGTTTATTTTTGGCTACACTGGGTCTTCGTTGCTGCACGTGGGCTTTCTCTAGTTGTGGCGAGCGGGGGCTACTCTTCGATGCGGTGCGCGGGCTTCTCATTGTGGTGGCTTCTCTTGTTGCGGAGCACAGGCTCTAGGCACGCAGGCTTCAGTAGTTGTGGCACGCGTGCTCAGTAGTTGTGGCTTGCGGGCTCTAGAGCGCAGGCTCAGTAGTTGTGGCACACGGGGCTTAGTTGCCCCGCGGCATGTGGGATCTTCCTGGACCAGGGCTTGAACCTTTGTCCCTTGCATTGGTGGGCAGATTCTTAACCACTGCGCCACCAGGGAAGCCCCTAATCCTTGTTTAAATTAATATAATTTACATGATTCAGAGGGGATATTTTTTAATTTAAAAAGCATCAAAATATAAAATAGGAGATTCTTATTATCATCACCCACAATGAACTGTTGTTAAATTTTTAATAGGTTTGCTTTTTTAAAAGAAAGGAAGCTAATTTATTATTTTTGTGAAAAGGATATATAGGCTTATTACTATAAATAATTCCTACCATGCATAGTATTTAAAAGGTGAAACTATCACCCTTCTTGTCACTAGAAATAGCTGTCATTATTATCATTATTGCTATCAGTGACTGTCATCCCAGGCGTTTCTATTCATGTGTACATAGGTAGAAGGATGGATGGATAAGGTGTTTTTACAAAAATAGGATCATACTAGAGTAGTTTTTTAAAGTAACAACTTTACTGCAATATGAATTCACAGACCATAAAGTGCACTCTTTTAAAGTATACAGTTTAGTGGTTTTTAGTATATTCACAAAGTTGTGCATTGACCAGAGGTACCTAATTTCAGGGACTTCCCTGGTGGTCCAGTGGTAAAGAATCCACCTTACAATGCAGGGGACGCAGGTTCGATCCCTGGTCAGGGAACTAAGATCCCATATGCCACGGGGCAACTAAGCTCGCGAGCCACAACTACTGAGCTCTCATGCCTCAACTAGAGAGCCCGCATGCCGCAAACTACAGAGCCTGCGCCATAACTAGAGAAGAGAAAACCCATTTGCGACGGCTAGAGAGAATCCCACGTGCCACAAACTACAGAGCCCGCGCCACAACTAGAGAAGAGAAAACCTGTTCGCCACGGCTAGAGAGAATCCCGCGTGCCACAACGAAAGATCCCTCATGCCTCAACGAAGGTCCCACGGTGCTGCAACTAAGACCTGGTGCAGCCAAAAATAAATAAATAAAAAATAAATCTTTAAAAAAAAAAAAAAAAGAACTACCTAATTTCAGAACATTTTCATCTCCAAGAGAAACCCCATACTCATTAGCAGTCACTCTATTCCCCATTACTCCAAGCTCCTGCTGGCTTCACGTACCATTTTACATTCTCACCAGCAATGTATGGAGGGTTCCATTTTCTGTACATTCTGGTCACTACTTGTAATTGTTTTTGCTTTTGTTTTTGTTTAAATAAATTTATTTATTTTTTGGCTGCTTTGGGTCTTCGTTGCTGTGTACGGGATTTCTCTAGTTGCAGCGCTTGAGCTTCTCATTGTGGTTGCTTCTCTTTGTTGCAGAGCACAGGCTCTAGGCATGCGGGCTGCAATAGTTGTGGCATGTAGGCTCAGTAGTCGTGGCTCGCGGGCTCTGGAGCTCAGGCTCAGTAGTTGTGGTGCACGGGCTTAGTTGCTCCGCAGCATGTGGGATCTTCCCAGACCAGGGCTTGAACCCGTGTCCCCTGCATTGGCAGGCAGATTCTTAACCACTGCGCCACCAGGAAGTCCAGATGTTGAGCATCTTTTAGTGTACTTCTTGGCCATTGGTATATATTTGGAGAAACGTCTATTCAAATTTTTTGCTTTTTTAAAAATAAGTTTCAGGTATGCATTATAATTTAACGTGCGTACACTGCAAAGTGATCACCCCGCAAAAGTCCAGTTACCATCTGTCACCATACAATCAATCCCCTTCACCCTTTTTGCCCACCCACAACCCCTTTTTCCTCTGGTAACCACTGATTTGTTCTCTGTATCTGTGAGCTTGCTTTTGGTTGGTTGGTTTCCTTCCCTTACCCTTCCTTTTCCCTTCACTTTCCCTTCCCTTTCCCTTTCCCTCCCTCCCTCCCTCCCTCCATCCCGCCCTCCCTCTCTCCCTCCCTCCCTTCCTTCCTCCAGATTATTCCATATGTGAGTGAAATCATATGGTAGTTGTCTTTTTCCTTCTCACTTATTTTACTTAGCATAATACCCTCATGTTGTTCATCCATGTTGTCACAAATGGCAAGATTTCATTCTTCTTTTATGGCTGAATAGTATTCCACTGTGTATATACCACATCTTCTTTATCCATTCATCCATTGGTGGACACTTAGGTTGCTTCCATATCTTGGCTATTGTACATAATGATGCAATGAACATAAGGGTGCATATATTTTTTTCTAATTAGTGTTTTTATATTCTTTGGATAAATACCCAGAAGTGGAATCACTGGATCATACGGTTAGCTCTATCCTTCATTTTTTGAGGAATCTTTCTACTGTTTTTCATAGTAGCTGCACCAGTTTATATTCCCACCAACAGTTTATGAGGGTTTCCTCTTCTGTACATCCTTTTCAGCACTTGTTATCTATTTGGTAAGAGCCATTCTAACAGGTGTGAGGTGATACTTCATTGTGGTTTTGATTTGCATTTCCCTAATAATTAGTGATGTTGAACATCTTTTCATGTGCCTTTTAGCCATCTGTGTCTTTGGAGAAATGTCTACGTAATCGGATCCTCTGCCCATTTTTAAATCAGGTTGTTTATTTGTTTTGGGGTTGTATGTGTTCTTTGTATATTTTGGGTACCAATCCCTAATCAGAGATACGATTTGCAATTTCTGCTGTTCAGTAGCTTGCCTTTTAGTTTTTTGTTTTGGGCAATGCCCGGCAGCTTGTGGAATCTTAGTTCCCCGACCAGGGATTGAAGCTGGGCCACTGTGGTGAACGCGCTGAGTCCTAACCACTGGACCACCAGGGAATTCCCACCTTTTAGTTTTGATGATGTTTTCCTTTCCTGTGCAGAAGCTTTTTAGTTTGATGTAGTCTCATTTGTTTATTATTGCTTTTGATTTCCTTGCCTTTGGAGTCAGATCCACAGAAACTTCACTAAGGCAGATGTCAGTGAGGTTACTGCCTATGTTTTCCTCCAGAAATTTATTTAATGTTTTCAGGTGTTACATTCAAGTCTTTCATCCATTTTGAGTTAATTTTTGTGTATGGAGTGGTCTGGTTTCATTCTCTTGCACGTGACTGTCTGTTTTTCCCAACACCATTTCTTGAACAGACTTTCCTTTCTCCGTTGTATGTTCTTGGCTCCTTTGTTGTCAATTGTCCATGTATGTGTGGATCTTTGCTTTTTTAAAAACAGCGTTATTGAGATATAGTTCATAGGCCATACAATTTACCCATTTAAATTGTACAATTCTGTGGCTTTTCGTGTAGTTACAGAATTGTACAGCCATCATCACAATCAATTTTAGAACGTTTCATCCCCTCAAGAAGAGACCCTCTTCTTTAGTTATCACTTTCTTATTCTTTTTCTCCCTCCCTCCATTTTCCTCCAACCCCACCCCTAAGTAACCAGATGGTTTCCCAAGAGATTTACACTCTGGTTTTGCTTATCTCTCATTTTTAATGCAGTGTGTTTCTAAAACTGTCAGTTTTCTCTGTGATAATTTGCAGCAGTGATGTATTGGTGCTCCTGCCAATGAGCCTGAATACTGGACATTGAACAAAACCCAGGGGAATGTGGTATGCACTTTAAGGGCAATGGGAAGAAGTGAGACTTGACAGTGTGAAGAGGTTATTTCACTCTTGAGTAACCAGATGTTAATGTTTTGTGGGATGGAATATCTTTCAGAATGCATAAATAAAAACTTCTTTAATGGTCTTTTTTGACACAGGTATGTCTTGATTGACACACCTGGACAGATTGAGGTATTCACCTGGTCAGCTTCTGGGACAATCATCACTGAGGCCCTGGTGAGTATTCTAGGACTTATTACTCAGGGTAAGTAGAGAGCCAGACAAGAAAAGCTTCTTATTGCTTGGGATCTTATGTGGGATAGAGTCATAGAGCTCTGCACACCTGCCTAAAGTGGTTCTTCCTTGCCACGGAAGGTAGGAGAAGAATTTGGGGACAGGTCAAGAGCCCTCTGACTAAAGCTTTGATTATTTTGTGGCTTTAGGCATCCTCGTTTCCAACGATTGTCATTTATGTAATGGACACATCTCGAAGTATCAACCCAGTGACCTTCATGTCCAATATGCTCTATGCCTGCAGGTAATGCGTTATTGTTGGGCATGGTATTATGTCAAGGTATGAAGTCTCCACTTCTTTTCCATCATTTTTGAGTCCTGAGTGCTTACCCCTAGGTTTTCATTCAGGCTTGCCACTCACTTTAGTGGCTCTGGGTTAGGGAGGGGCTCTGGGTTAGGGCGGGAAAGGAAGCACATATACTGTTGGCATTCTCTATCAGCCACTTCTCATCTTCCTCCCTTGCTTGTTACAGAATAGGTGATGAATGAATATGAACCTTCTGGCAGTTGCCCCAAGTTGAATGAAATCCAGTTCTGAATAGAATAGAGCCCCTGGTCTAAATGCCTTTCTTCTGTGTTGTGATAGGAAGAGTGAAATTATAACATGAGGAGAGACTGAATAAAAAGATTCATCCATGATTCTAAATGCACGTGTTTTCCCAAGCGTGGTGCCATTAGGAGAGGAAGGACATGCCTCACTAGGCTATATTAGTGCATTAGACCTAGGAGCAAGGCGGACCATTATTAATGCTGAATTTTATTTTGGGGGTATGCAAAAACAATCACCCCGATTTGTCTCTTCTGTTATGACTAGGGATGTCCCTTCCTGTTAAACACAAGAAATCTTAGTCCAGATAGAAATCTGATGTTTGATAGCATGATTTTGTCTTCATATTAATTGTTTAAAAGACAGTTAATTTGGTGAAACACACACACACCACACACACACACACCACACACACACACACACACACACACACACACACACACACACACACACCCAGGATCAGTACCAAAGCATTATTACTCTAAGAAAAGGAGAGAGTGTGTATGTGTGTTGTTTGCTTGATGGTAGTGGTAGTTTCCTGCTTGGGAGGGGAGAATATGTGAGTGCTGTGTAAGAATGGATACCTGTATTTAGAGTCTGAACCCATCTCCCTATTTATTACTCAGTTCCATCAGATAACAGGCAAGCAGGTGCTTAAGTGCTTTTACTAATAATGCCTCAATGTTTGATTTTCAGCATCTTGTACAAAACCAAGCTGCCTTTTATTGTGGTCATGAATAAAGTAAGTGGATTCTTCCTGTTGTGACTGAATGTTTCGTTTTCATCAGAAGCTTGTGTTTGGGTAGGTGAGAAGGATTATTTCAGATGCTAGAGAGCAGATTTAAGCTAACCTGAAGCAAAGTCATGAGCACTTCTAGGAAATGGATTCAATCAAATCGAATGAATATATATTGCTGATTCTTTTCCAAAGTTTTTTTAGGCTAGAAAGAGTAGCCCCTGGTCCACAGCGTATAGGTAATCCCTCAGGATTGGGACTGTGTAAATGAGGGAGGGACTGCTAGTCTATTGGAAGTGGCAGTTAAACAAAACCAAAACTTCTCTGTTGTTGGCTAGGATGCAAGAGACTATGTACTTGACTTCAGAGCCTGGAGGGTACTGGCCTCCACTGTGGCCATGGTCACTTGGCAGTGGATAGTGAAGGTCTGTTCTAACCTAGAATATACAGATCTTCATTTAATTATTTATACTGCACAGCAGTCTTGGCTCTTTGTGACTTGTTGCAGTGGAGGAGGAAATGGGGGAAGCAGAGAAAGAAAATACATGAATTATTGCTCTCTGCTGTCATCACTTAAGTAAAAAAATTTTTTTGCCATTGTTTGATGCCTGACCTCATCTCTGGTTGCTGATAGTTGACTTCTCTCTGGTACAGACTGACATCATTGATCACAGCTTTGCAGTGGAATGGATGCAGGATTTTGAGGCTTTCCAAGATGCCTTGAATCAAGAGACTACATATGTCAGTAACCTGACTCGTTCAATGAGCCTCGTGTTAGATGAGTTTTACAGCTCCCTCAGGGTAAACTTTCTTGCTTATGCTGTTGGTCTCTCCAGATAACCTCATAACCCAAAGGGCTGGCTTTGAACCTATTTTGGAAAGGAAGTTCATTACCTTCTGAAAAGTAATTTTTAAGGCGTAGCTTATTAAAAACTGGAGACTTAAAAGATAAATATGATATGGACCCTACCCTCAGGGAGTTGATGGTCTAGTTAGGAGAGAAGGCTAAACGCAGAGTTAAAACATGATATATTGTAGTAACTTATATTGTGATATCTTAAGAAAGATTAAAAGTTGGGCCTGATAGTGGTGATGGGGTAGATCACTTTTGAAGTGAGAGATTTTTTGAGGATATAGCCAATATAGGTGTGCTTTGAAGGATGGGTAAGATTTGTGTAAGCAAAAGTGGGTGTGGGTAGCAGCAAGTATGTTAATTGCCCAAGCGAAGACATTGAGATACTAATTTTTATAGAGAACAGACTGTGGTTTGATTTGATAGGGAATAGATGAACTGCTGCTTGTTTGATCCTAATTATCTTTCTCAGTTCTCTATTTTCCATAGACTTATTTCCATCACTCTTGAGTAGGTATGCCATTTTGTCTTGTTTTAGCTTCATTCTTTGCCAGAGACTTCTTAAAGTAGCCAAACCTCTTCTATGAAGATTTTATGAAATTTGAGCCAAATAATATATGCCATTTAAAAATATACAGTTGTTTCCTCAGTGGCATTAATGATGCTTTTGGCAGGTGGTGGGTGTGTCTGCTGTTCTGGGTACAGGCTTAGATGAACTCTTCGTGCAAGTTGCCAGTGCCACAGAAGAATATGAAAGGTGAGGATAAAGGAACATTCTATTGATGGCACTCTTAGTTACCCACAAGTCTGATATGATAGCTGTTTTGCCAGGCAAAACATTTTGGTTTTCATGGTGTTTGTATTATATTTGCCATGCAGATGTGTACTGGATCTGATCACACTTAGGGTTAACAAGTAGCTGTTAACTTTTTTTAAAAAAGAATAGGAGTATAAAATCTTCACTGTATTGAATGGTGAAGAACAGGTGTCATCAGACATTGTTTGTAAAAAGCCAGGTGTTAAATATTTTAGGCTTTGTGGGTTGTATTATCTGTTGAAACTCCTCAACTCTCATTGTGGTGCAAAAGTAGCTATAGACAATTCCTAAACAAATGGCGTGGCTGTGTTCCAATAAAACTTTATTTATAAAAATAGGCAGTGGGCTGGATTTGTCCTGTCTGCCACATTGGTTGACCCCTGATGAAGAACATAGACTTTGGAGTCAGATAGACATGGTTTAGATTTCTTTTTCCTCCAATTAATAAGTGTGTAACCTTAGCAAGTTTTCCTCATTTATAGATGAAGGGTAATAGCATTTATTGTTAAGGTCATTGTGGGGATTATTTGAGATAATATATCTAAAGCACCTAACACAATTGCCGACATGTAGTAAGGATATTTCTTAATAAATGATTGTTATAACTATTTTCTTGGTTAATACTGGAGTTCCATTTATCTAAAGGAAAGTGGAGTCATAGCACCTATACACTTTCCTTAGGCCTGATAATTGGCTGCTTTCTAGCAAGCTTCATACTTAGCAAGAGCCTAATAGCCACATTGTGGTTTTTCAGAAACATTATTTTGATTTTTATTCATCAGATGAGGTTTGTTTTTTTTGTTTTGTTTTTTTGCATGTGTTATCAAAGCCTCAGGATAGACTCTTTTCTATATCCTTTCATGGTTGCCCAGATAAACGACATAATTATATATTGGGCTTCCTGAGCCCAGTAGGCCTAGCTTCTTTTACTCATCATTTAAACATCTTTTACTCATGTTTATCCAAGTGAATGGTGAACTCATTGGTCATGGTCTCCCCAGAGGTGATCTTCCCAGATCAGCAGTCAGTCTTTTGTCTTGTTGCTGATTTCAGGGAGGGGGCAGGCACCTTGGCTTTTAATTCCTTAGGGATAGAATCTCAGTGACTAAGACTTGTTACATCTGATGTATGGTGACATAAGATCTTTTGTTATTATCAAAGTACTAGGAAAATAGAAGTGATGTGGAGGCGGGGACAGGATAGGTTATTAATCAAAGGGATTTAGAAAGTGTTTCTCTTTCCAGAGAGTATCGTCCTGAATATGAACGTCTGAAGAAATCGCTGGTAAGAAAAGAGGCTGTTTGTGTATTTTAGGGCCACTGAATAAACAATCTCAAACTACGTACTAATCCTTCTGCCATAAATGCTTTTGTTTTGGTTCTCAATATATCCTTCAGATACTTGTTAATTTAAACCTGTAAGTTTGTACGTATGCTGTCTGGATGCAGAAAGGCCCTTAATTATTTTTCTTCTCTATACTTGAAGTAATAAAAATCAGTAATTTTTCCTTTTATATATGCTGAGCCCTTCTTGTGCCATACCTCCACCCCTACTCCAAGGTCCATTTAAAGGCTACTTGTAGAATTTTGTTTAGGAACAGAGGGTAGTTCACAACTCTTACCCCAAATGATCAAGTGTCCTATCCCCATCGGCTACATTGGACATCTTATCACTGAGCCTTCCTGCTGTGTCTGTTTGAGGGTTCTTTTGATGATTTTGTGTCTAATTTCTGAAACCTCTAATACAGTCTGCAGAGCCCTCCGGAATGAACTTCTGCTAATCTGGGCCCACACTGCTCAATGTTTCTGTCATCAGCCATCCCTTATCTGCCTCTAGTATTTGTATAATTTGTCATCTCCAGTTAGAAGTCTGGCATCTAACTTGGGCCTCCTTTTTTAATATGACAACATTTTCCTCTGTGTATATAGGCCAGTGCACAGAGCCAGCAGCAGAAAGAACAACTGGAGCGACTTCGGAAAGATATGGGCTCTATAGCCTTGGACACCGGGACTGCCACAGGTACTGGAGAGTCTTCTGGTGTTAGGAACTAAGAGCGGGGTATGCTTATCTCCACTTAGTAGGTAGGTATTTATGTTTAAGGGAGAGAAAGAGAAAAGGATAAAGTAAATGTTGTATAGTGTATCTATCTATCTGTTCCTCAGTCAATTTAGATAAATCCTAGATCTGCATTGTGTTTAGTTGTCTCTTAGTCTCCTTTAATCGTGAATGGATCCTTTGTTTTTGTATTTCATGACATTGACATTTTTGAAGTGTACAGATGTAGATATATACCTACGGACATACCCATATCTAACATCTGTGTTAAAGAGGAATCCACTATCTGTGTCTCTCATACCACATTTATCTTATCTGTGTTTATATTTTTATACATATGTATATGATGATTCTCTTCAGGTAGTTTTTGGTTTACTTTGGCAAGATACTTGATGTCTACTTTTTTTTTTAAATTACTTTTTAATCCTCCCCCTCTTTTACTGTTTATTTTGACCTAATTTTAGATTTACAGAAGAGTTTCATGAATTGCAAAGAACTGCCATATACCCTTCAGCTAGATTCGCCAAATGTTAACATTTACCACATTTACTTTATTCTTTCTGTTATATATGTTTGGCTTTACATTTTATATAAATATATAAGTATACTTATAAAATATTTGTATATTATATATAACTTTTTTCTGAATCATTTAAGAGTAAGTTGCAGACATGATGCACCTTTACCCTTGAGTTTTTCTTAAAAATAAGGGCATTATTTTATATACTCCCATTGTAGTTATCAAAAACTAGGAAATTAACATTGACACATTCCTATTATCTAATGTATAGACCTTATTTAGATGTAGCCATTTGCCCTCTATAGCAGGAGAAGGTTCTGGATCTGTGTTGCATTTAGTTGTCACGTCTCCTATTTTCCTTTAATCTGGAATGGCTCCTTAGTCTTTCTTTGCATTTCATGACATTGATATTTTTGAAGTGTACGGTACTTATATTTTTGTAGAATTTTCTTCAATTTGGGTTTGTCTGATGTTTCCTCATGGTTTGATTCAGGTGGCTCCTTTTTAGCAGAAGTTAACAGATGTGAAGTGTTTTTTCCATGTATCATATCACAAGGTACATGATGATGAGTTGTCTTTGATCACTTACTTAAAGTGGTGTCTGCCAGGTTTTTTCATCATAAAGTTATTTTTCCTTTCATAATAAGTATTTTGTGGGGTGATGCTTTGATTAGATGAATGTACTTTTAATTTTCAAATGTTCACCCACTAGTTTTAATATGCATTAATCTAGGTAGGGATAGTCTTCATTTTCCTGATACATGTTGCAGATATTTTCTCCCTGTTTGTCAGTTGCCCTTTGACTTTGTTCATGGTGTTATTTTGCCATGCAAAAGTTTCTGTTTCGTTTTGTATAAATTTGATGTAGTCAAATTTATTTATCTTTTATTGCACCTGGTTTTGAGTCATAGTTGGGAATCCTTTATCTACACCTGTGTTAAAGAGGCATTCACTCATGTTTTACTGTAGTACTTGTATGGTTTTATTTTCTACATTTGGAACCCTGATCCATTTAGGGTTTATTCCTGGGTATGGTGTGAGGTATAGGTCTGTGTTACCTTTTTCATAAATAGTTGTACCCACATGATTTATTAAAAAGTCTACCTTTGTCCCAGTGATGAGATGCTACCTGTATCATATACTAAAGTTTCATATGTACTTGGATGTATTTCTGGATTACCTATTTTATTCCTCTAGACTGTGTGCCTGTACTGTGTGGCTTTAATTACATATAGAGGCTTTATAGTATGTTTTAATATCTGCTAGGGCTAGTCCTCCTCAATGTTTTCTTTTTTAGTGTTTCCCTGACTATTCTTGCTTGTTTGTTTTCCCAAATGACCTTTAGTATCAACTTAATGTAGCTTGCTAAAAAACCTCTTTGATATTTTTATTGGGATTGTGTTATATTAATTAATTAATTAATTAATTGACATCTCTTTGATGTTGCTCTTCCTGTCTAAGAACAAGGAATGTGTTTATATTTGTCAAGTCTACTTTTATGTCTTCCAGGAGTGTTTTCCTCATGTAGGTTTTGTTAAATTTGTTAAATTTTTCCCAAGGATTGTATCTTTGTTAGTGTTGAAAATGGGATTTTTCTTCTAACTGGTTATGTTTGTGTTTATGAAGACTTTTCATTTCTGTATTTTAGTCTTTTTATTCTGCTACTTAACTGACATTTTTTATTGTTTGAGTTAGTTTTGTCATTAATTCTCTAGGGGTTCCTAGGTTGGTGCTCAAATTTAAATATATACACACTCACCCACCCACACTCATTGGTGGACTGGCCTTTAAAGGAGTAAAGTTCTGTTAATAATAGCTATTGCTATAGGTCTAGTAGAGAACAGCAAAGCCACTTGGTGGATTAGGTGCTGGAACCTGGCTGGGTTTACCAGTTAAGTGAGTTCCATGCTCCACACTTTTACTCTTGACTTATCAGCACACTGGATCTGCTCAAATGTCTTTAGCCTTCATAGGAAAAACCATAGCCTCTTCTAAGCTGAGAGCTAGTACAAACAAATGACATTACTATTACTATGAAGACAAGCTACTTGAGAGTTATTTTCCTCAACTTAAAAATGAGACCTCTGGGGGCTTCCCTGGTGGTGCAGCGGTTGAGAGTCCGCCTGCCGATGCTGGGGACACGGGTTCGTGCCCCGGTCCGGGAAGATCCCACATGCCACGGAACGGCTGGGCCCGTGAGCCATGGCCGCTGAGCCTGCGCGTCCGGAGCCTGTGCTCCGCAACGGGAGAGGCCAAAACAGTGAGAGGCCCCCGGTACCCCAAAAAAAAAAAAAAAAAAAAATGAGACCTCTTGGGTTACTGGCCTCATGAAAGCACTTTGTGAAATAAACTAGTGTAGAAATGTTAAGTGGTATTATTAACTGTACATTTAGAAGAGATAAGATCCTGCATTTTATCATGATCACTTTCATCCTGCCAGTTTTTAATCATAGTTGCTTATCGATTCAAAATCACTTTTTTGAGGAGGCCTATGTTCATGACATGCTACTGATAGATGTTTTCTATGTAGGCAGCTTACCTCCTGTGATGGACCCTTCTGACTTGATCCTGACTCGGGGAACCTTGGATGAAGAGGATGAGGAAGCAGACAGTGATACTGAAGACATTGACCACAGAGGTGAGAGGTGGCTGAGGTGGCTCATGAGAACAGAACAGCTGCTTATTCTTTCACTGTTTGCCCGGGAGCTTTCTGCTACTGAGGGAAGACCTTGAGCATGAAGCCAGTTACAGGGGAGAGAGGACATGCTAAAGGATGCAGCACCAGGAAGGAGTTCCATATATTCAAAGTTCCTGGCCTTCCTACTGAATGGTTAATATTGAGCTTGATTACAGCCTTTTATTAGTCTTGTGTCTTCTCATCTTTAGGTCCTAACTCAATTTTGAGGAATCCAGGATTGTTTATTGTAATCATTGTTTTAAGAATACAAAAGGAGGCCTCAGCAGACCTAAACCAGTCAGAAGGGACTGTAGCATTGAAGATAGAATGGCTCTGGAAACCCAAAAGTGTTCCACTTTGCATAGTTTTATGGACTGTGGACAGAATCTGTTTCTTGAAACAACGCTTTTAGGTCCTAGCTGTGCCCAAGAGCAAACTTCTCTTTATTCCAGTGTGCTGGATACTAACGTGTAAATTGCATCATTTAATAAGATTTATTGAGGTATAATTTACAAACAATAAATCCCACCCTTTTATTAAAGTGTATAGCTTGAATTCTAATACATATATATAGTTTTGTAATTACCATTATAATCAAGAAACAGAACACTTCCATCACCCTAAAAGTTCGCTCATGCTCGTTTTTATTCAGTCCCTTCCCCCACACCAGTTCCTGGCAACCGCTTACCTGATTTTTATTCCTATAATTTTGCCTTTTCCAGAGTGTCGTGTAAGTGGAATCACAGTATTTAACTTGCATTTGACTTTTTTCATTCAGTGTAATGCTTTTGTGATCCATCCATGTTACTGCATGTGTCAGTAATATGTTCTTTTTTATTGCTGAGTAATAGTTCTATTATGTGGGTGTACCTTTGTTTATCCATTCACCAGCTGATTGACACTGGGGTTGTTGCCAGGTTTTAGCTGTCATGAATAAAGCTGCTCTAAACATTCATTAACAGGTATTTGTGGACAGAGGTTTTCATTTCTCTCAGTTAAAAATATGTAGGAGTGGGACCTCATTTTAGTTAATTTCTGAAGGAGGTATTCTCCCCACTTACAGGTCAAGGAAATTGTATATTTTGGGCAACATGATAAATACAGCCTGCTTCTAGGAGATATTTCCTTATTGGGAGAAGTGAACATACAGTGTCTTGGAAATATAGTTGACTCTTCAACAACTTGGAGACTAGGGGTACCCACCCTCCTCGCAGTTTAAAATCCCCGTATAATTAACTTATAGTTGGCCCTCCGTATCTGTGGTTCCACATTCATGGATTTCACCACCTGTGGATCGTGTGGTACTGTAGTATTTACGATTGAAAAAAATTTGTGTATACATGGACCTACGCAGTTCAAATCCGTGTTGTTCAAGGGTCAAAGATACTATTTCTGATGGATGGTTGACAGCATCTCTAATCCACCTGTCTAATGGGAGAGTTTAAAAAGAATTAACCTTTTTTTCTTGCAGTTACAGAGGAAAGCCGTGAAGAGCCAGCATTCCAGAATTTTATGCAAGAATCAATGGCACAGTACTGGAAGAGAAACAACAAATAGTTTCTAAAGTCCAAAATTTTGGAACTCTGTGTGAAGGGACTATCCTTATCTCTGATTGGGGGCTACTATAAAGGACAATTTTGTTCAGGATAGCAGTTTCTCTTACTAGTGAAATCTCCTGACTCAGATGAAGCCAGGGATAGAATACATTTGGACCTGGCAGGTAGATGCTGATTCCCCTTGGCATTTTCCTTGGATTTAGGCAAGGAAGGATATTCTGGTTTTGGATGCTGATATCCCTTCAAGCCTAAAACTGCAAGTTTTATCATTTGAACGCACATACTTTTGCTGCTGATGGACAGAACAGAGAGAGAACTTAGTAGGCTGGATCTGTAGCCTCTGCTTCTCCAGCATCTTGCCTTTGAACCTGCACCACGAGTTCCCCTCCTTTTAGCAGAAAGAGGGGGAAACAGGAGCTTGTCCAGAGTGGCAGTGGAGTCTCCTTGGCAACCAATCAATCTTGGTATGAAATGTGCCTCAGACTGGGTAGCTTATTGTAGCACACCAGGTTCATTGAAGAAAGTGGGCAAAACACTGTTAACGAATAAGAATTCTACTTTAGATGGTGACTTGGATAAAGAGTTTTTAATTTTAACTTTGTTGTAAGCCTGCTTGTCATAATTTCAAATAAGAAAATTATCACAAATAGTCACTGCAGTTCAGAAGAGAGGTTTAAAGCCACATGTTGTTTACTAAGGTTCCATGTACATACCACACCTAGTAACCAGGTACAAAGCCAGGCCCTGTTTGTATTGTACTTTAACTTAATGCAGTGTATCCTTAGTGATTTACTCAAAGGCCACGGATTTGGGTCAGTTGCACATTCCATATATAACAGCCCTGGTAAGGGTTTGCTTTGCCTCCACATTCTTCACAGTATCTTAAAACATTATACATTTCTCTTAAGGAATTTTGTCCCTGCCTAACCTGTATTCCAGATCAGTGGTTCTCAAAGTGTGGTCTCTGGACCAGAAGCAGCAGCAGCATCTGGGAAGTTACTAAAAATGGGACATTCAAGCCCTGTATCAGAAACTGGGGGGGTGTGGGGCCTAGCAGTCCGTTTTACTAAGGCCTCCAGGGGATTCTGATGCATGCTAAGTTCAGAACAATATTCTAACTCAAACAGCCTATGACGTAATTCTAGGCCAGGTGAATCTCAGATATCAATGTGCTCATCACCTGCTTTATCAGAGTACCCCAACCTTGACCATCTGGTGCCTATTCTCCAATCTAACATTCTAAAAATAAAGTGTTTTGCTTTACATGAAGTATTAATTTCAGTATTCTGTAACTAATGGAAACCACTGGTCTAAAAACTTGAACCTGTTCTTTGAGAGGAAACCATTTGCACGGCAAAACTCTGAACATACCTGATTTTTTCCCTTAGTGACTTTGTATACTTTTTACTTAAAGAGGAACTTGTCTGGCCTATGCTATAAGCTCCATAAGGGCAGAGACAGTCTTACTCATCTGTGTATCCCTTGCAGAGGACCCAGTACATAATAGGTACTCAACAAATGTTTGCTAAGTGAATGAATTAAATACTAGGTGGCTACTTTATGGAAACTGACCACCTGATGTGTACTTTCATCAATAAATAAGCGAAAATGAAGCTAAGCCTGGAACAGGAAGGGTTGAGATAGATGTGCCAAGGATGTACAATTAGCAAACTTATAAATGATCTGGTAACAGTTTAAATTATAACCTCATTTTGTTGCTCTTGCATTCATATTTATTCTCAGTGCTGGATATTTAAGGCACTCAATGATGTGGGCCTTGATTTCTGGTCTCCACTATAGGAGTGCTCTAACTTTCACAAGACTTGTATTCTGCACCCCCAAACCAAACTTCAGCAGTATTTAACATGCACACATTTGCTAATTACTCCTGATTATTCCAGTGCTACATCATTTACTTAATAAATACTGGTTGAGACTATCAGATGCCAAGCAGGGCAGGTACTGCTATGGATGAGTAACAGCAATAAAGTTGTTCAAGACATGATGTAAAGCAGAAAGGTGCATACTGTTATCCTTTTGGCGGCTGCCCATCCAGTAGAAACACAATGTGCAGACAGAATTCTGGCAAAGGAATGGACTGTTTTCTGATGGCCAAGCAGATGCAACAAATGAAATAGGCACAAGCCTGTCCTTGGACAGGTCCTGTTTGCTTCATTCACAAAGGAGAAAAATGAAAGGAGCAACCAAAAAGTGTACATGGTGAAAATATAAAAAAAAATCTGAATGGAAATAAAAAAATAAAGATGGTGGAAATACATGGAATAAGTCTAGAGAAGAAGAAAATATGTGGCTGAGATAGTAGAGGGCTGTCTGAAAAAGCAAAAAGCCTGTTTACCACAGACCGCTCTGACTTTATAGGTGACCTCATGGGCAGCAAAAACAGTTTGAAAACAAGACTACTGATAGATAAGCTATGCAATGTTTAGCTATTTCCTATTAGGTATTAGCACTGGATTCCCAAGGACTTCGACCAAAAATGAAGCAAGTTAAAAAAAAACTGACATCTGATACCAGCATATATTTACTTGTGAGTCTATTCAAGCACAGCTTTGAGGCTTAACAACATCTCCATCTTCATAATATCTCTGCAAGGTAGGTCAAAGCAGTATGATTCTTCTCAGTTGTGCAAGAGAAACAGCTCTAGAGAAGCTATGTCACTTGTCTAGTCACACAGTAGATGTCAGGGACAGTGCTTTGGTCTCTGGATTACCATCCCAGTGTCATGATGTCTGTGAAAGGTAGCTTGGTTGTTGTGGAAAACTACAAAAACTGGATGCAAAAGGAAAAAGCAAGACTTATTTGGTTAAATCCAGTTCCACTGATATCAGGAAAATCCACTGTGTTTAAGGATAAAAGTCAAATCACTGTTTATGGAAACGAATTAGAATACATCAAGGTTTTCTATGGGGTCTTGTAGGTCTGGAGAGAAACTCTCCCTCTTTGCCTTATATTTTCCTCATCCTCTTTTTACAGCGCTGGTTGAAAACAGGGGAGGACCCCATGAGGCTGTCAGTGGAGTGGGAGCCGTAGCTGCTGTCTGAGTCATCAGGGCTCTGGGGGATCCCAGCTTCACTCATGCCTGACATGGGCTCCTCGAACACATCGCTGCCCAGCACGCCATGCCCAGAGACGTTGCCTTCTTCACTCTCTTGCGGCTCCATTTTCACGTGGGCCAAGTTCCAAAGAAGTGAAGCATTTACTTCTGTACCTGGGAATGGAAGAAGAACATAGAACTAACTAGCAGTAAGAAAGGCTGGAACAGGGCTTCCCTGGTGGCACAGTGGTTAAGAATCCTCCTGCCAGGGCAGGGGACACGGGTTTGAGCCCTGGTCCGGGAAGATCCCACATGCCACGGAGCAACTGAGCCCGTGCGCCACAGCTACTGAGCTTGTGCTCTAGAGACCATGCTCTGCAATGAGAAGCCACTGCAATGAGAAGCCCACACACCACAACGAAGAGTAGCCCCCTGCTCGCTGCAACTAGAGAAAGCCTGTGCACAGCAACGAAGACCCAACGCAGCCAAAAATAAATAAATAAAATAAATTTGTTTAAAAAATATATTAAAAAATAAAAAGGCTGGAACAAAGTAGGAGACATGCACCACCCAGGGCCAACTGATGACCTTTGAGGTCAGTTTTCACTCTGATTCTCTACTTGGATGGAGAATATGGTGGTTATTCTCTGCTCAAACAGTTACCAACCCTAAATATCTTCTTTTCCACTTCCTCACCCTCCTTTACCCCACCTCATCCACCTCCATTTTCCCTAAACTAGGGAGGTAAAACTATGCTCGTGGAAAGATTAATGGTTCAAAGGCAGGCACAACCATGGGCTCTTAGTCAGGTGTTACATTGGCCTGTCCTTTTATGGGGCTGTCTTGTTTTCCTGCCTTGTGTTTGGGTCCCTGGTCCTCTCTCACATTATGAAAAGTTAATGACCGGTATGAAATGCTGGCAGCTGTTCCCAGACTGCTGAAAAGAGACATGACCCCTACATCTGCAACAATTTCTTTTTGGCTCTCCTGCCTCTGTGTCTTCTAGCAACACTGTTCTGTGGTTATTACGTCTTCCATGGTGAAAGGCTCTCTGCCCAATACTTTAAAAAATGCGGCCTAATTCTGTTTAGGCTACACTGAGGGACTGGCTATTTGCATCATTTGTGCATTGATGACGTGACAATTTATATTTGTAAAGAACTGAGCGTCTAGACTAATTTGCAATCTAACTGACTTAGGGATCAAGTCATCTGGTTCTGAAGGTAATCACAGGGTCTATCTGGAAGAAGAGGCCAGCTGCCTGTAACTGGGTTGCCCTATTTCAATTCCTTTCAGTTCCAACTTGTTGGGGGGTACTTTAGCAAGGAACCCCAACTATTCAAACATCCCTGAGCAATTAACATTACTCCATCTATCTGGAAGTTGCCTTAATCAATTCAGTACAAGCAGCAGGAAAGACCAGAATACAGAGAACAGGAGGCCATCTGCCCACCCAGCTGGGTCAGCTGAATTAACTCTGGTAATCACTTATTGCATCTACATCCTAACTAGAAATAATTTTAAAGAATGTCTGTAAAGCTCTGCTAGTCCTTTCTTCCTTAATTACAAAGAGAATGTTGGTATCTGTGGATCAGTGAAGCTATATTCGTTTTCAGACTTTCCATTCTCCTGCCCATCCCCACTTTTGTTCTTCCATCTCCAGAGTTTGAATCCAAAACGCAAGAAGTACTGAGACTGGCAGATCTCCCAGAATCAAAATGGGTAAGTTGTTTTCTCTTACTTGAAGCCTGTGGTGAAGCCTCGACCTCCAGGTTAGATGGGAAGCGTTCACTCTGAGCCCCAAGGACTCCCATGGGCAGTGACTGGTCTCCAGAAGCAAGGTCAGCCTCCAGTTCCTCACTGACAGGGAAGGTGATGTCGCTCACAGGTTCCTCCTTGATCTTTACAGGTTTAGTGTCCTCTGTGGCCTTCTCAGGATTGACAATCCTTTCATACTCTTCAGAGAGCTGCTTACTAATCTGTTGGCAAGCAAGAGTCAATTTTCCAAGTTAAAAGCAAGTTGGATAGTCAGCTTGTGGCATCCATGGAAAAGCCAACAGAATATGAATATGCATAAAACATCACTGCCAAAGGAAGGAATGTGAGTTTGAAATTCGTAAATGACAGAGACATGTAAAGAATATCTGTTTAGCAGAGAATGTGTATGTCATTAATTAAAAGGTACATAAAGGTGAAAAATATTTAGACTGTATTATATCAGAACTGGGACAAAAGATCACATTTTTAGCTATAAAAATTAAGATTTGACATAGGTACCACAGGTGGATGATGAACACTGTAGGAAATCTGGATCGCTTAGCAAAGACGACTGGGTGTTAAGAATTCCTTACCATATTTTAGATTTGGGGAAACCGAAACAGTGAACAAAATGCCTCAGGCCACAAGGGTTGAAGAGCTCAGATATTTCTGTTTCTAACCAAAAATGGTGTCTCCCCCACCACACTCCACCCTTGGGCAGCATCACCTCACTCTGCTTTGTTTCTTTCTCATAGCACTTAACGCCATCTGAAATTATTTGTTTACTTGTTTTTGTTTCCCTCTCAACAAGAGTGCAAGCTCAAGGAGCTTGTTAACTGCTGAATCTCATAGTGCCTGACTCACAATAGGCACTCAATAAATATTCGTTGAATAAAAGCATGCTCACCACATGCTATAATTTCACTGACTAAAGGAGACCCCTGAGTCTGGCCAGGTCAGTGATGAGGCCAGTGGAACACAGCCAGGGCCGAAGAGGAAAGCAGGGTAAGTCCACTCTGTTCCAAGACCCTGTGCTCTGCACCCTAGAGCAAGTGTTAGGGATCCTGCTGGACACGCCTAGATTACACATCTTTACCCACTTCTCCTCAGGGTCCTCTCACCTGCAGCATGTAACTGTGATAGTCCTTGATGCGGTGCTGCCAGAACTTCTGGAGGGAGAGCACGCTGCCAATGCCCACTTCATGGAAAACCTGCTCCATCACGTCGGGGAAGGGAGTCTGCCCCAGCCGGGCCTCCTGATCCACAGCAAAGCGCAGCAACTTGGTGAACTTAAGACAATACTCGTGTGCCACATCAGTTAGGGTCTCCAGGACACTTTCGTTAGCACACTCAAAGCCTGCGTGGGCTAGGATTGTGGCCACTGCCTGGTAGAGGAGCTGCCGGCAGGAGTGCCAGCTGAGTTCAGTCACAGGTTCCCCTTTCCCACTGAAAGCGGAGACATGCTAGTGTTATTAGTGCTCTTCCAAAGGGGTGACCTGTCCTGTCTCCCTAGGAAGTTTACAATCCCAATCAAACCACCGGCTCAGCTTTCCAGGGGAATTCTAGGCAGGTTACATAGCCCAGTGTCATCTTGTTGCTGTCAGGGCATGTCTCAACAACCCACAGTCATATCCCTGAGCTGCTCCAATTACATAAATTTTGAACAGGCAATAGATGCCTGTAGTAAACAGTATAAAAGGGTATCTAGTGAAAAGGAAGTTTCCTTCTCCTTATAACAACTGCTGGATTTTGATCACTTTTAGGATCTGATTAATTTTAAGAGTATAGCTCAGATACTGCTCAGTGGTGCTCTATTTCACCAGAACATAGGTTCCTCACATGCTGGGCAATATATGGACTTCTAGAAATTCACAGTCCCAATTAGGAGATTCTTATTTAACTACAACAGACCTTTGGAAAGCTGGGAAAGGAACTCAATTTTATAAAAGCAATTTAAAACATATATAGCTTACAAAGCATTTTTATCCTGTTTTATGCTGTGAAGTGGGTAGGGGTCCATATTTCTTCACGTTCCTATCCGGCAGGTGAAGAAAATGAAGTTCAGAGGGGCTGACTTGCCAAAAGATTTTTGGTATTATTAAGTGATAGAGCTTCTGCCTTTAGATCCCATGTTCTTAATAATACACTGTTTTGTGCCTAATCACTATGACAAAGATCCTAATCTTTCCCGAACAAAACAAAAAACCTCAAAAAACTGTCTGGTCTCCTAAAAATAACTTTTAATGAGCTCCTAATAATTTACCCACTCTCCTGAAATTTCCTATCTTCTGCCTCCCTCTGACAAAGTAAATAGATAAAAAAAAGATAGGGTACGAAAATTACTTTTCCCTGGTCCATACTTGGCATGCGTCACCCTGTGCTTGCTGTACAGAGTGCCTGAGGAGCTGCACACCCATGCTGCTGTTATCTGCTCAGTAGCAACTACTGTAATTCACATAATAATTGGAACATAAGAAAACCAACTGCCTAATAACTTTCCATTCACTGTTTGCATCATCGTTTCCCATGGCCAGTCTCTCTGGACCAAAAGCTAAAGGCTTCAGAAGTGCCTAATAAACAGAGCTAAATCAGTATTGCTTTGCTTAATATGTGGACCCATTTCAAAGGAAAATAATTCTTCCCGTACCCCCATAGCTGATGCAAATTATTTTTGTACACCATTTCTTAAATATGTATAAAACAAACTACGTTTAAACTTCTGATGTTCACAGAATCTTCCTAACAATTAAAATTAGAAAATTGACACGAAAGTACAAATTCTAAATAATAGCATCAATTTAATATGAAGGACAATATTATTTTGTTAAAGGTAAATTGCTCTCAAAATGTAAACTTGGTACTGATTCCCACAGGGTAAGTGTGTTGAAGTTAGGCACATCTATACTAACACGGGGCAAGCATGTAACGACACAGTTCTCCCTCCCTTTTTCACTATTCCAGTGTCTTCAGAGCCTTCGATTAGACAATACACCATGACATTTTCTGGCCTTCATCTGGCCCAACTGCAAGCCTTACTTAACAAGTCTATTTCTGTTCTTTTCTCATTAGTTTGGGACAATTAAAATAGTAGCAACTATTATCATAAATAGGCAGATGCACTAAGTGATATACAATATTACTTATGTAGTATTTTTGCCAACATTTCATTTGAATCTAATCTTGAGGAAATAATCAGCAAATCCAGTCTGATTTGGGACAGCCTACAAGTGACCTAAACTCTTAAAAAAGATTAATATCATGTATTATAAAAGGGGGAAGCTATTCTGGCTTAAAAGACACTAAAGAGGCAGAGAAAGACAAATATTGTATGATATCATTTTTATGTGGAATCTAAAACAAACTAGTGAATATAACAAAAAAGAAATAGACTCACAGATATAGAGAACAAACTAGTGGTTACCAGTGGGGGAGAGGGAAGAGGGGCAGGGCAAGATAGGAGAAGGGGATGAAGAGGTATAAACTACTATGTATCAAATAAATAAGCTACAAGGATATATTGTACAGCACAGAGAATATAGCCAATATTTTATAATAACTTTAAAAGGAGTATAATCTATAAAAATATTGAATCATGATGTTGTACACCTGAAACTAATATAGTATTGTAAATCAACTATACCTCAAAAAAAAAAAAAAAAAAGACACTGAAGAGGTATAACAACCAAATGCAATGCGTGAATCTTTGTTAGGTCCAGGACTGGGGACAAACATACCTACAAAAGATATTTTGGAGACAACTGGAGAAATCTGAATACAGACATATTAAATGATAGTATTTAATTAGTGTTCATTTACTTTGATGTGATAATGGTTATTGGGATTGTGTAGGAAATTTCCTTATTCTTAGGATAAGTTGAAGAATTTAGGGGTGATATATTGCAATGTCTCCAACTTTAAAATATTTGGCAAAAAAGGTCTTATGTGTATATGTATATATATATGTTTGTATATTTGTGTGTAAATGTGTGTATATACACTTACACATACGTGAGAGAGAGAAAGTAAATGTGGCAAAATGTTAACAATTGGTGAATCCAGGTCAAGGGTATTTGGGTGTGTGTCGTACTATTATTTAAACTTTTCTATAGGTCTGACAAAGTTCAAAATGAAAAGGAAAAAGTAATTATTTGGCACCAAATGCAAACTTCTACACTGAAGCCTAGTAGTAGCCCTAGGTTATAAGGCAGTCATTCAGAGGACCTGGAGCAGCCCTTCTCAAATTGAAATATACTTATGAACATTCTGGAGGTCTTGTTAAAATGAAAATTCTGATTCAGCAGGTCTGGGTGGGTCTGAGACTCTGCATTTCTAACAAGCTCCCAGGTGATGTTGATGTTGCTGATCTTGGACCAGATTTTGAGTAGCAAGGATCAAGAACATTTTTCTATTATTATTTCTTAAACTATGTTATCAAAATGAAAATACACAATTAAAAATTCTTGTATAGAACTTGGAGATTCCTAATAGTATGAGAATAAGTCCATGAATCTCATCTTGAGGGCACTGAGCTAAACCCATATTATACCTTTTAATGAAACAGAAGGACTAGACTCTGAGGACTATGCGACATGGCCTATTTTACAAACTAGTGTAGTACTTGCTCCTAGTAAAGTGCTTGGCACATATTAGGCACTCCATAAATATTTGCTGCATCAGAAAATAAAAAAATAACAGACTCTGGATTCGGAAGATTAGGGTTCAAGTCCTAGACTTCCCACTACTTACCTGAGCAACTTCGGCCAAGGCAATTACTCTCATCCTCAGTTTCCTCCTGGAAATGTGATTACCTGCTTAACACAGTTCTTGGGAAGATTTTTTGAGAAAAGTAAGATATAGCAAAGCCTTGCCTTACCGATAAAAGTCACTCTCTGGGTCACTGTGCCGGATGTGGAATGGGGCGCTGGGATTCTTACAATCTAAAGGAAGGAGGTCATCAGGAAGAGGAGGTGACCCAGGGCAGGACGGAAGAGGCTCACTCTCTTCGGTCTTTACACCTTCTGTCTGTTGCTGATTCTGGGCCTGAGCTGTGGCAATGAGGTTACGCAGACGTCGGTTGTGCTGGATCAGCTGAATGGTATGGATGGTCAGGCTGCATGGCTCTGAGGGGATATCCAACATAGTGGGGGGCTTGGGCTTGTTGGCTGAGGGTTGGTGCAGGGGTGGGTCATGGACTTCTACCAGTCGGAACTCCCGAGGGAGCAAGTCAAAGGAACTTCTGTTGGTCTGGCTTGATGAGATTGGTATCTCTCCCCAGTATCTCAACATTTTGGAATAAGAAAGGAAGAGCTTTCAAGTTAAATATAGATGATATCCGAAAAGTAGTGTTTTAAAATCTCTAGCAACTGCAGGTTATGGGCTTCTGTAGTGAAAAATATGAAGTCTAGCCAGTTATTTACATAAAAAGTAGGCAGTTTAAGACCACTTAGAAAAATGTCAGTGTCAGCAACACTGTAGGACCAAGGATGTTCTCCCTGAAGAAATTAAGAGAAATATAACTGTTAGATGCCAGTCATCACAATCACACACTAGGACAATTCCTACTGGACTGAACCACAAGGTAGAGTTTGGGTCATCAGTAGATTAATAGCTGCAAGAGTATCTGGGGCTATAGTGTCCATATTTTCCATCTCACCCTACTAACTCATCACGAGAACTGCCATCATACCCAGTCCTGAACGATTTGCAAGGCAAGATACTTAAATGAAACCTGGAATACTTCTCAGAGTATCTTGACACATCTGTCCTGGATTAGTAGGAGAAAAGGGAATAGAGTTAAAGATAGGAAAAGGTGGTTTTTTGTTTTTTTTGTTTTTTTTTTTTTTTGATGCAGCTTGTAGGATCTTAGTTCCCTCGACCAGGGATAGAACCCAGGCCTGGGCAGTGAAAGTGCCGAGTCCTAACCATTGGACCACCAGGGAATTCCCGAGGTGGTTCTTAATTTGTGAATGCCAGGCATGGGAACCTTTAACTGGTCCTGGTGGAAAAATTTATGAACCACTAACCTAAACGGTCTTATGCATTCAACTTGACGTATATAGGGAAGAATCTGAGATATCTGCTGTCTCCTAACGAATATCCCTTCCTTCAGTCTCTCCTTATATCTAATCTACTCTCTACAGTAATGCTAGAATTAATATTTTAAACTCATTGCCTATCGGAAAAAAGTCAGTCAACATTTTTTTGGTTTACCATTCAACAACGTTTAGAGTCTGGCTTCAACTCACCCTTCCAGATTCATTGCCCATATGTCTCTTCAAATTCGACAAACATTTACCGAATGCCAGGTATCATGTGAAGAGAGAAAGACTAATGCAAGATCCTTACCCTGAAGTGAGGGAGAAAAACATAAAAAGGACATTTCAATATTAAAATGTGTGGTAAGAGCTGTTCTAGAGACACAGACCTGGTGCAGTGAGAAAACACAAAGGAGGAACTTCCTGGAGCAAATGACCACTTTAGATCTACCAGTATCAGACTACTCGCCATGCATTTTCACAGCTTAAAGATGTGATCTCTGCCAGAAATGCCCTGACACCCACCACATCCCTGGCAGACTTGTATTCATTCTTAAGTATGGCTTACGTCACCACTCTCTATCACCTCCCCAGTACAACTCCCTTCATCATATCCTCACAGCACTTTGCATGTCTCCATCACAGCATTTATCCCTATATTTAAACTAGTACTTACGTCAATTTTATTCTTCCATCTAGCTCTCACAACTGTGATCTTAGTGCCGTGAGTGCCTACCACGTGCCGGGCTTTGCCTTTACTGTTAATTCAATTCTCCCAACCTCTCTATGAAGTAGATACTATTATGACCCCACTTTGCAGATGTGGAAGCTGAGGCCTACTGTCTTGCCTAATGTCAGAAATGGCTGAGAGGGAAAATCAACACGGCCAGGCTCCAGGGCCTGCACTCTTAACAACTACACTATGCTGCCTCGTTAATTGGTTTCGGAAAGAATAAAAGAACAAACGAATAAATGAATGAACCAAGTGACAACAAAAATCGCCCTCTCCCCTAGCTTCACCGAAAGGAGCACGAAGGACAGACACCAAGCACAAGCAATGCCCAAGTCCCTAGGGGGGGGCTCCTCCGTCACCGTCAGCAGGCGCAGGCGCCAATCACAGGGTCCTGGGGTCCCCTAATGCTGGGGCAGCCAGGACACAGGCACATCTGGACCTGGACCGAGGCAAGGAGGCTCCACTATGGACTGCCACGTCGCAGGTGCGGGGCTGGGCGGCTGTACGACTCCGAGAGGCCCGAGACAAGGGTCGCGTCAGGCCCGGAAAGCCGGTGTGTTGATTAGTGATTCAAGGCTGCCGGAAGCGCTTCTTCTCAATCAGGCGCTGCCACAGGAAGTCGTGATAACCCAGTTGCAACCTCTAAAGATGTCCCCATTCCGACAGTACCTCGACCGCCTTTTTGCTTTCCTCTTCTTATAACTTCCCCGGATACTCATTTCTTCACAACGCTGTAGGTCGTGAAGGAGCAACTCTACCGTCGCTGCCAGAGAAGCCGCTGGGGGCTGGGGAGAGGGAGGCGTGGAGAGGAATGTAGAGACCGAGGGAGTGAGGTTTCCCTGGAACAGATTTCGACGCTGCACGCGCTCGATGATGGCTGCTGGTCCCTCTCAGTCCGAGCCGCTGGCTTCGCAGGAACTCAATGGCGACTTCAAGAAGCCAGGCTCGCCCTTGCCCCCGGCGGTGCGGGCCAAAGCCCCGGCCACCAATCCTTCAAACCCTGAGGAGGTAAAGAAGGAAGGGCCCACGGTGCCGCCGGACTCCGATTCCGCGGAGCCTGAAGACCCGCCAGCCCTGCTGGACAGCGGGGAGACTAGGGGTCCAGCGGAGGAGCAGCCACGGCCTCCCACAGCGGCTCCTTCCCCTGGCGGCCCGGCCCGGGCTCCTCCTTACCGAGAGCCTCCGTGGGGCGGCCCCGCCACGGCCCCCTACAGCCTAGAAACACTGAAGGGCGGCACCATCCTTGGCACCCGGAGTTTGAAAGGGATGAGTTGCTGTCTTTTCGGGAGGCTCGCTAGCTGCGACGTGTGCCTGGAGCATCCTTCGGTGTCTCGCTACCACGCTGTGCTGCAGCACAGGGTGTCCGGTCCCGAGGCAGAATGCGACGGCCACGGGCCTGGCTTCTACCTCTACGATTTGGGAAGCACCCATGGCACTTTTCTTAACAAAACCCGCATCCCCCCCCGCACCTATTGTCGTGTCCACGTCGGGCATGTTCTTCGCTTTGGAGGCAGCACCCGGCTCTTTCTTTTTCAGGTAAGTAGAAAAACCTAGAATTGCAGTCTCTGGAGTGCGCCCAGCTGCGTTCCTGAGCTCGTTAAGTTTTCACTAAGGAAGGAGATTGTCTCAGCGATTACAAAAGTGGAGAAATCTGGCCCCTCATCTCCAGACCTCTGTACACATTGCCATATTTCTGAAAGTGACTTTAACCATCAACTGTAAAAGAATTCTTTTGCTTGATCCATCAGGGACCAGAGGAAGACCGAGAGGCAGAATCTGAGTTGACAGTAACGCAATTGAAGGAATTGCGCAAGCAGCAACAAATGATGTTGGAAAAGAAGATGCTGGGAGAAGACTCAGATGAAGAAGAGGAAACGGATACAGCTGAAAGAAAGAGAAATACTAGTAGTCAAGATGATGAAATGGGCTGCACCTGGGGAATGGGTAAGGAATCAAACTTGATGCCAGAGGTTAATATTTTAAATTCATTTCTACTAGTACGCTTAAATGTTTTTTGGTGTTTTTTTGTTTGGGGTTTTTTGTTTCTCTTTTTATCATACAGCTTTCATGACTCTTTGAGATAGATAGGACAAATACAGTTTGCACATTAGGTTACCCAAACTCAGATTTATTAACTTTTCTGATGCCAAAAAATTGAATTATGGGCACTATTGATTTCTTTTAATGTGTTTTACAGTGCACTCCTTTGTTCAAAAGTTCCTCAGCTTATAGTTTATTATTTTTAACCATTAAAATTTATTTAATTAAGTACCGATTATTGCTAAAGGGGGTGAAACTACATTCAATCAAATAAAACAGAATGTTATTCAGTATAGGAGTTCTTTTGAATTTTTCATACTTTGGGTAAATACCCTGAAATGTGAAAATATCTAATCAGAGGAATAAATTGAATTTTCCATAACACCAGACATTTTAGAGGACGGGTATTCAGGAGCTAGGATTTTGAAAAGCTAGAAGATGGCCTTACTATGTTGTTGGGAAGACAGATAAATCTTATGAAATTACTTGTGGTAAGTGCCAAACAAAAGCTAGAAACCATTAGTATGATAGGGTAAGGGTTCAGAGAAGGGAGCAGTCACTGAGGACCTAGACCTGCGCTATCCAGTATGGTGGTCATCAGGCACATTGGGAACTTACAGTGTGGCTAGTCCAAATTGACATGTGCTGTAAATGTAAAATACACACTGGGTTTCAAAGACTTAGTGTGAAAAAAGAATGTAAAATATTCATAATATTTTTATGTAGATTCCTTGATAATAATTTCACCTGTTTCTCTTTTTTGGTGTGGCTACTAGAAAACGTAAATTGCATATATGGCTTTCATTATATTTCTGTTGGCCAGCACTAACAGATCTTTGGGACAGTTTATAAGTTTATAAACAGAAGGGTTTTGAGCTGGGACTTGAAGGAAAGGAAAAGAAGCCCTTAAGAAGCTGAGCATTGGGGTGGTATTTGGGGCAGGGATTGATGATTGTAATGGAGTACTAAGTAGACCAGTCTGTTGGTGGATATGATAAGTATTGGGAAATTATACTGAAGACAAAGTATTAGACCTGGGTGTGAGAATGCTGGGCTGAGGAACTTCATTTTTTTTTTTTTTTTTTTTTTTTACATAGAGAATGTGGTAGGTAATTTTGCTTTTAAAATATCAATACGTATAGTGATGGAGAACGAAAATAAGGTGGCATGAAAAGTTTTAACTTGTCACACAATTTAGAAAACCTGAAGATGTTCATACTGATGGTCTTGTGGTTGTCCTCCTCCCCCCCACCCCCACCTTTCTTTTCATCACTGATAACTGTGTCTTTATTCAGCCTGAAGGGATAGTGGGTGTCATTCAGATAGTCTCTTATGTCTGATTGTCTTTTCTTTCCCGTATCCTGTAGGCGAAGATGCTGTAGAGGATGAGGCTGAAGAGAACCCCATTGTCTTAGAGTTTCAGCAGGAAAGAGAGGCCTTTTATATAAAGGATCCAAAAAAGGCTCTCCAAGGTTTTTTTGACCGAGAAGGTATGTAAACAGATTCTGACACTGCCAGTATAATGTATCCACAACAGGGTGGTTTTCCAGATCTTCAGGTACTTAGAAATGCTGTAATTTATCTGCTCTCCTCCTTGTTCAGTTCTTGCCTGTGTGGTCAGTTGCTTCAGGTTTATTTTGAAAATAGTAAGAATTTTGTTATTTTTTCACATCTTGGAAAAAAGGAAGTACTTTTGCCTGACTTCATCCCCTTCTTGTCAGAAGATCCAGGACTGGGGTGGTGGGGAGATTGACCCAACTTCTTGTCATTTTTTTGTTTCTAATTCACCTGATCTTTTGTAATTCTTAACATGGATTTTCACTTTGTATGATTTAAAGATTGTTTCCACAGAGAATAGTTTCAGTAGAAATGCTTTGAGAGAACATCTATGTGTATGTGTGCACGTGTGTATGAGTGTAAATATATATGTGAACTGCTTGCATTCTGCACTTAATATTTATGCTTCTAAAAACTGGGCAACCGTGATAAATTAACACTAAGTCTACAACTTATAAGTGTGAAAGCTCCTATATAGGGGACAAACCTGTGTATGGAGAGTTGTTTTGATTTGAGTTTGGGCTTTTCTCTGCCTCAAGCTCATTCTAATTTTATTATCAGATAATAATTCCTAGGAATAGGAAGTGAAATGCTTTGAAATTTAGTATTCAGTGTGGTATGAGAACTTTATATTCTTACTTAACCTTTGCTGTCTTTTCCCTTTGTATCAACTAGTAACTTTCAGATGCTATTAAAATTGTTTTGTCTTTCTTCCTTCCACAGGAGAAGAATTAGAATATGAATTTGATGAACAGGGTCATAGCACTTGGCTTTGCAGGGTGAGGTATGTTCTTTTCTCATTAACATCCATTTATGGAAAGTGGTCAATTTCAGGTTTAATTTATGGTTACAGACAACAACCCAAAGAGCAACTTTAATCTTAATTTTAGCCTATTCCTGAATTTGGACCTTGATAGTTTATAACACATTGGGGTTAGGGTGGGATGAGTAAAAGGTGGAAGGAAAAGATTTGAAGTCCATCCTTGGCAAGATAGAACAAAATGAACTGAGAGATTAAAAAGCCATCTCAGGGCTCCCCTGGTGGCGCAGTGGTTGAGGGTCCGCCTGCCGATGCAGGGGACATGGGTTCGTGCCCCGGTCCAGGAAGATCCCACATGCCGCGGAGCGGCTGGGCCCGTGAGCCATGGCTGCTGAGCCTGCGTGTCCGGAGCCTGTGCTCTGCAACGGGAGAGGCCACAACGGTGAGAGGCCCGCAAACCGCAAAAAAAAAAAAAAAAAAAGCCATCTCAAAAAATATGACTATTATCATAAGATATTAATTTTTTTCATGAGAATTGGAGCTTAGTGCCGTGCTATAATTCCCCCCAAACCAATGCAGATTACCTGTGGATGATTCAACTGGAAAACAGGTAGTGGCTGAGGCTATTCACTCAGGAAAGAAAAAAGAGGCAATGATCCAGTGCTCACTGGAAGCTTGTCGAATCCTTGATACTTTGGGATTGCTGCGTCAGGAGGCAGGTGAGTACGTGGGAACACTTTTCTTTAAAAAAAAAAAAAAAAAAAGGAAAGAAGGAAGGGAAATTTAACACATAAGGTTACAAAACCTCTTTTTAGGGGGAAAATGTAAATCGTACAGAATTCTATGAAGTGAAAAGAAAAAATTCCCTATCTCCATACCCAAAAGTAACCGTTGTTTACTTGTATTCTCCCAGACATTTTCTATAGATGTGTGTTCAGAAGTAGATCCTTTAACAAAAAAAACCCACGCATACACAAATGCATTTATGTTACTTATAGTATTCTTTTGTGACATTTTAACATAAGAATGTATCATGGACATTACCCATGTCATTGCATTAAATTTACCTTATTTTTTAAAAATCTGTCTGGGTATATAATTATTTTTTATTTATTCTAAAATTAATTTTATTGCAAAGTAACTTACATATAATTTAAAACTACCAAAGGCTTATAACTAAATATACCTGTTCTTTGTCCTGCCCCTCCCCAGTCTTCATTCCTAGAAGGCT